CTTCAGGGGGCGGGCGCAGGCCCCACCTGCTTCCAATGCCTTCCTACTGGTGATCGTTTTCTCATTTACTATTTTGCCGATCGGCGCGGGCCCTCGCACCCCCCCCACCTTCCCCCCCCATTGAGTAGAGATCTTGGCTGTTTTTGGCGCCTGTTTTGAGCAGGTGGAGTCTCCCACATAGGACGCACTGTTGCAAACAGCCGCATTTGGCAGAGGTCCACAGCCAGACCCCGCCCCCTCCCCCCCCCACCTCCGCCCAATGTCGAAACGCCGAATAAGAAAACGTTTGCCTTCTGGAAAGGTTCCGTGGGGGGGGGGGGGCGCGCCGCTCGCTCGAGGGGCACGCCCGCCGGCGGACTCGCACGCCCTGCGTCCTGCCCCCCCCCCACCATCTGCTTCTCTCCCTGCGCCTCCTCATCCTCCTCCTCCTCCGCCTCCTCCTCCTTCTCCTCTCTCCTCCCTCCTCCTGCCTCCCTCCTCCCTCCTATTCCTCCCTCCTCCTCTGCCTCCGCCTCCGCCTTTTCGCTGGGAGACGAGGTAGCTGCTTATCCCTTCTTTGTCGGTGCGCGCGCCTTCAGGCCCGCTTCTTCCCGTAAGGGGGAGGCCTGGGGTGCCAGTTGCCGCTTGCGTGCGGTGTGCACCGCGCACTTCCTGGATGCATGGCTCCACGACTCCATGACTCCTGACAAGAGCGGTCTCTCTCTGAGGCCGCCTCTGGGTTCGGCCTCCTCTGCGCGCGGGGGGGCGGCGGGAGCCGGGGGGGGCACCTTTTGGCGCGGTCTGCGCTTGCAGGCGCCAGGGAGGGACCGCCTTCTCTTCGTGGGATGCGGGGGGAACAGGCTCCATGTGCCTTCAGCCTTCAGCCTGGCAAGGCAGCGAGATGTAAGCTGCAGGAGAAGTGTCTCGGACCTCAAGAGCACAAGACCGCCCGATAGCAGCAGACATATGTCAAGGGAGGAATAACCACCCAGACACGACAACTGACGTTTACTAAAACGCCTGGGGCGTTTACCAAGCAGCCCTGCCCTGTTCGATTCCTTCCTTGGGTGCGTTTACTAAACGGCTTCGCTTGTCTGGGTGATTCTTACTGGGGTGGATCTTCTGCCCTCTAATATGGTATAGCTGCTATACCTGCTTGTCGTCGCCCTATGTCGGGCCAAGCTTTCAGTCCTGACGAACTTTGGTATTGTATAGGCCCGTGCTCCCGTCCATCGGCTGCGCGACTCGGCATTGCTGTGGGTCCTCCTCCTCCTCCTCCTCCTCCTCCTCCTCCTCCTCCTCCCGCTTGTCTTCCTCCTCCGCCTTCTCAGCGCTGGCTCAGGTCCGCCTCCTCGCGGGGGCTGCGAGCTCGCGCCATGAGTCCCTGGGCCGCTGCCCTCCTCTCGCCTCGCCCCCCTCCCTCTCTGCCGCCTGCTCCGGCCGATGACCGCCTCCGCGGCGCTGGTCGCGCCCCCGCCGCACGGCGGCCGAGAGCGCCGGGCCCATGGCGGCCAGGGCCCAGGCGCGGGTCCTCCAATCATCGCTGCGGGCGTTCAAACCCCCTGGGTCACCATGCTTGCAAGCACGCTTGCCTCTCGGTGCAGCGCCACGGGCAGCTTCCGAAGGAGCTGATGCAGCCGCACCTGCTGGGGCGCCTCCTGCCAGCGAGGGCGATGCCGATCGTCAGATGTTTCATGATGATTGCAGTGGCGCCCTGGGCGCACGAGCTGATTGCCAGCCTGTTGCGGTTGCTTGCTGTGGTTTAGGACTTGCTTAGCCGCTTAGCCTGTCGCACTTCCTGCCAACGTAGGTGGTGAAGTGTCTCCAGCTTGGGATCGTGCTCGTGGGGTGTTTCTCCATGAAGAACGTGCTGCGCATGCACATCCGCGTGATCCATTTCGTACTTTCCTAGATCACGGCAAGAGCAACGGGGACAACGAGGGCATTGGAAAATGGCAGGCCACTGCTGCCGCCCCTGGTTCCGACCCATGGCTGCAGGGTCGTGATCATTGAATCACGGCGCTACCGCCGCCGGAGGTGTCCAGCCTCATGCGCGTTGCTCTACATGCCAGGCTGCTGGTTGTCACGCCCAGGAAGGCCAGGAAGTTGGGCCAGAATATGCTCTTGCCTCTGAGTACCGCATTTGTGTGTGCGCATACCGTTTCCTTAGCAAGGGCGGGGCGACTCGATGCGCGCTGCACCGCGATGGTGGCTGATGCCAGCGTCCCCATGTTGCGTGTTCACCGCTCCATGATCTTCCACCTCCTCCCGCCTGCACATCGCCCTCCGCCCCCTCGAGGGGCTGAAAACTCCACCGCCAGAACATGTCCACATCCACCGCTTCGCAGTCGTGCCCTGAGATCTCGAGGAGCTGTGGACACGGATGTCTGCCCGCCCGCTTTGGCGGGCAGATATCCGTATCCACCACTCCCCGAGTCCTCGGAACACGACCAAGCGGCAGTGGATATGGTCATACTCTGCATCGGCGTCACCCCAACATATTAGTACAAAGTCTTACAGTATATGCGTCGTGGCGGGCGCTTTCTGGCCACATCTCTCGGGAAAATATTTACGTACTACAAGATGGGTATACTACATGTTCGGGTCGGACGCGCTCGTCCAGGGAAGACATATCGTATTAGTATGCTTCTGTGCGTACCACCGCGCGTGTGGCCGCCCCGCCCTTCACGGCGGGAGGCCCGCGCTCGGCGGGCGCGCCGGTGGGGGCGCCGTCTTGGGCGCGGGGGGCGCCGGTGGCCTGGGCCGCGGCCTCGGAGGCGGCGACGTCGTCGTCGTCGGCGTCGGCGTCGGCGTCGGCGTCGGCGTCGGCGTCGGCGTCGGCGCCTGCGGCGTCGGCGTCGGCGTCGGCGTCGTTGGCGTCGTCGTAGTCGTCGCCGTCGTCGCCGGCGGCGGTAACGGCGGCGGCCGACCTTGGGGGCCGTCGTGGGCGTGGGCTCCTCTGTCTCGACGTGGCCTGCCTCCGCAGACGCACTGGCAGGCACGAGGGCTCGAGCCTCGCCCGGGCACGTCCCGGGGTGCTGCACGCTCTGAGGGCGCTCCGGCCGTCCGCGGCCCTTCCCCCCGCGTCCTGGATCCTCCGCCTCCTCCTCCTCCCTCTCTCCTCCTCCTCCTCCTCCTCCTCCTCCTCCTCCTCCTCCTCCTCCTCCTCTCCTCCCTCCTCCTCCTCCTCCTCCTCCTCCTCCTCCCTCCTCCTCTCCTCCTCCTCTCCCTCCTCCTCCTCCTCCTCCTCCTCCTCCTCCTCCTCCTCCTCCTCCTCCTCCTCCTCCTCCTCCCAGCAGAGTCAGGAAAAAGACGGTCTTGACGTGGCAGCTTCGAGGTGGAAAAGCGGGCACCGCTGAGAGCAGGCTCGCCAGTGGGCTCGTCGTTGCGCTCGGGTTTGGGTCCCCCCTTTTTCCTCCATTCCTCCGCCTCCTCCTCCTCCTCCTCCTCCTCCTCCTCCTCCTCCTCCTCCTCCTCCTACACCTCCTCCTCCATCCCTTCCTCTGGCACGCTCCACCTCCTCCTTCATCCCTTTTCCTAATAGATCATTCCTCCCTGTCGCGCCCCAGGACGTGTCGGCAGAGCGGGTCGTGCGTTTCGCCTCTGCCGTTTACGACCCTGAAGCTTGAAATGCGCAGCAGTTTTATGGATGGAGGGCGGGTCGTTTTCAAATGTGGTTCCCGCTTCATCGCCGTGCGCATTCGTCTTAAAGTTTGCAACCGTTTCGCGGATGGAGCACGGGTCGTTTTCAGAATTTAGTTCTCGCCCGAACGCCGTGCACATTCGTCGCGTTTGCAACAGCTTCATGGATGGAGGGTATGTCGTTTTCAAGATGTGGGTGTCGTGGTAGCGCCGCGCGCGTTCGTCGTAAAGTCTTGCAGCATCTTCAGGGGTGGAAGGCACACTGTCTGCAAGTTGATATCACTATGGCGCCGCGCAAATGTGTATTACAAGTCTACACATGTTTCAAGGATTCGCATGGTCGAAGCCCCAGGAACGGCGTTCAGACACGATTCGGGGCAGTGGACGCAAGAGTCTGTAATGCTAATTCGTGGTATTGAATTCCAAGGAGCGGTGTGTTGGCACTGTTGAGGATTAACAAGCGGTTGTCTTCTAATAAGCCAGTTCTCGCAATGCAAACAATTGTGTTAGGTACTTTTGGAAAGGGAACCGGGAGGGAGGATTTCTTGCAACGTCATTGGTGCGTCTATAGTGTGCACTGGTCCTCCTCCCCCTCCTCCTCCTCCTCCTCCTCCTCCTCCTCCTCCTTTCCCCTCCCTCGGCCTCCTCCCCCTCTCTCTCCACTTCCTCCCTCCTCCCCCTCCTCCCCCTCCACTCCCTCCTATACCTCCTCCCCGTTTTTTACGTTTATCTTTTATCGCGCTCCTCCGTCTTTTCCTCCTCCTCCTCCTCCTCCTCCTCTTCCTCCTCCTCCTCCTCCTCCTCCTCCTTCATCCTCCTCCCCCTCCCTCTCCACTTCCTCCCCCCTCCTCCCCCTCCACTCCCTCCTACTCCGACTCCTCTCCGTCATCGTCCTTTTTTCACTTCCTTGTATCGCCCGAGTGCGGAGCTGGTGGTGTCCCGCTGGAAGCTACGACAGGGTCGGGGGAGTGCAGCGTCTGGTGTGAGGAAGGGGGGCGGGGTCGGTACACCTTCATGAGTGTGCTCGCCTGTGCTCGCCAGTGCAGAGATGCCCACATCTCTCATTGTCTTAGCTTCGTCACATAACGAAGTGCTCACTCAATCCTTACCTTCCTCCTCCCCCTCGTCATCCGCCTTATCATCCCTCGTCGTCCTCCTCCCGGTTGGGCAGTATCTCCCTCTTTTTTCTCTTCCACATCCTCCTTGTCCTCGTCCTCCTCCCTCTTCCCCTCCTGCTCCTGCTCCTCAGCCTCCTGCTCCTCCTCCCCCTGCTCATCCTCCTGCTCCTCATTCTCCTCGTGCTCCTCATCCTGCGCCTGGTGGCTCGGAACAGGACGCCGGCATTCGCACCCCGTGCGCTGCACGAGCGCGCGCATCCGATGGCAGCGCCCTCCGAGGACGTGGAGATGGTGGACGCCGCCCGTCCAGGGGCATCGCCCCCCGATGCCAAGCGCGGGCGCTTCGCGTCGCCGCCAAGCACCGAGGGATCGCAGCTGCCCTGGGTGGAGAAATACCGGCCCTCGTCGCTCGGGGAGTTGGTCGCGCACGAGGATCGACTACACGTCAGAGTGACCCTTCGCCGGAGTGACCTTTGCTGCCAGCCCATCGGGCCCCACGATCGCCGAGCGCGATGCGATAGTAGCGTTTTGCGCGCTTGTGCTTGGTCCCTAACGTCCCCCAAAAAAGCCGCGCACCCCAAGGTCACTCTTAACCCGGGGTCACTCTGGTGTGTAGCTGAGAGGACATCATACGCATGATCGAGCGCATGATGACCAAGAAGCAGCTGCCGCACATGCTCCTCCATGGCCCCCCAGGTAGCCAGCGAAAAGCATGCCGATGCCTGATTACCCTTGCCGTGCTTTCGCATTCGGGGCCTCCCGGGGAGCCCTTGCCGCCACAGCTGGATTCACCTTGGAGTCTTGGTCAGAGCGCGCCACAGGAGAGGTCCAGAGAGCAACGGGATCGACATGATCTAGTTCCCCAAGGCACGGGCAAGACCTCCACCATCACGGCGCTCGCGAAGACTATGTACAGGGAGAAGTACAAGTCCATGACCCTGGAGATGAATGCCTCGGACGCGCGCGGCATCGACGTGGTGCGGGATCAAATCAAGACCTTCGTCAGTGTGAAGCAGCTATTCAACTCTGGAAGTACTGAGGGGCAGCCCAAGCTCGTGATCCTCGATGAGGCGGACAACATGACGCAAGCCGCGCAGTTTGCCCTGCGACGTATGATTGAGCAGTACGCTCCGAACGCCCGCTTCATCCTCATCTGCAACTACAGCAGCAAGATCATCCCCGCGCTGCAGTCCCGGTGCACCAAGCTGCGCTTCGCGCCGCTGCTGGAGGAGCAGATCTTGGGGCGCCTGAAGCACGTGGCGCGCTGCGAGGGCATCGACCTCAGCGACGACGGGGCCCAGGCCATAGTGCAGGTCGGGGCCGGCGACATGAGAAAGGTGCTCAACATCTTCCAGACCACGTCCATGGGGCACCGAGGCAGAGTGGATGCCGCCGCCGTGTACGATTCCACAGGCGTGCCTCCCCCAGAGGACATCGACAGGTTCCTGCGGACGCTGCTGAACGGCGCCGTGACCTACGCCGCTGGCCTGCAGAGCCTGCAGGAGCTGCTCCGGGAGAAGGGCTATGCCCTCGACGATTTTCTGCAGCTGATGCACGGCAGGCTCGTCGTGCAGGAGATACCTGCGAACCAGCGGCTCCCCCTGATCGCTGCCCTGGCGGACATCGACTACAGGCTTCTGCGCCCTCCTCCCTCCTCCTCCCTCCTCCTGCTCCCTCCTCCCTCCTCCTCCTCCTCCTCCTCCTCCTCCTCCTCCTCCTCCTCCTCCTCCTGCTCCCTCCTGCTCCTCCTCCTCCTCCTCCTCCTCCGCCTCCTCCTCCTCCTCCTCCTCCTCCTCCTCCTCCTCTTCCTCCTCCTCCTCCTCCTCCTCCTCCTCCTCCCCTCCTCCTCCTATCCTCCTCCTCCTCTCCTCCTCCTCCTCCTCCCTCATCCTATCTCTCCTCCTCCTCTCCTCCTCCTCCTCTCCTCCTCCTCCTCCCCTTCTCTCTCCTCCCTTCTCCCTCCTCTCTCCTCCTCCTCCCCCTCCCCCCTCCCTCCTCCCTCCTGCCTCCCTCCCGCCTCCCTCCTCCCTCATCCCTCCTCTTCTCCCTCCTCCCCCTTCCCTTCTCCCCCGTCCTCCCCCTCCCTCCTCCTCCTCCCCCCTCCCTCCCCCCCCTCCCCCTCCCTCCTCCCTCCTCCCCCCTCCCTCCCCCCTCCTCCCCCCTCCCTCCTCCCTCCTCCTCCCTCCCTCCTCCCTCCTCCATCCTCCTCTTTGCGAACCCTGCCCCTACTGGTCCAACCGCCGCTGGGGTGTCGGACGCCCCCGCGGGGCTTCTCTTGGCTGCAGACAGCCTTCATATTCGGAGCCCCCGCCGGTTTCTCTGAGATCTGGCCTGCAGGGGTAGGGCTCCCATGTGGCTGCCTCCACCAGGAGCTCGACCACAAGAAACCTTCCGCAAGAAACCCAACCCGGAAAGCCCAGGATGCTCATTGACTTTTGGGTGTTGGAGCGTCACGCGTTCCATAGCGAAACCATCGAGACCCAAGAAACCCAGGGCACCCTGGAGGCAAGCAGGGTCTCTCTTGGCATGGGTTTCCACTGCAAGGCTAAAGCAGGGCTGCAGCGAGCGTCTGCAGCTGGCCGCCATCGTCGGCGCCTTCCACGAGGCCCGCGCGGCGGTCGCCTGAGCGGGCGCGCGGGGAGGAAGCAGCTGGGCTGACGGCGTACGCTGTTGGGGCCGCCTTATTCTCCTTCCCCTCCTCCTCCTCCTTCTCCTCCTCCTCCTCCTCGTTTTCCTCCTCGTTTTCCTCCTCCTCCTCCTCCTCCTCCTCCTCCTCCTCCTCCGTCCTCCCTCTCGCACCCCGAGGCCAGTCGGAAGGGCGGGCGGGGCATTTCGCTGGAGCCTTCTTTACCATTTATGAGCCTCAAGCTTGAAAGCTTGGACATTGGTCCTCCTCCTCCTCGTTTTCCTCCTCCTCCCCCTCCTCCTCCTCGTTTTCTTCCCCCTCCTCCTCATCCTTCTCCTCCTCCTCCCTCCTCCTCCTCCTCCTCCTCCTCCTCCTCCTCCCTGTCGCACCCCGAGGCCAGTTGGAAGGGCGGGCCTGGCATTTCATTTGAGACTTCCTTACCGGCTACCAGCCTTAAGCTTTAAAGCTGACAACAGCTTCACGGATGGAGGGTGGGAGGTCTTTTAAATGTGGCTCCCGCCTTGGCGCCGCGCACATTCGTTCAAAACGTCTGCAAGAGTTGTACGGAGTGAGGGCGTGTCGTTTTCAAAATGTGACTCTCTCTCTCTCTCTCTCTTCAGCGCCGCGTGCATTCTTTTTATATATGTGCAGGAGTTTCGCGGATCGAGGGTGGGCCGTTTTCAAAGTGTGGATCTGGTTGCAGCGCCGCACATTCGTCTGACACGACTGTAAGAGTTTCACGGATTGAGGGCGGGTGGTTTTCAAAATGTGGGTCTCGCTTTAGCGCCGCTTGCATTCGCTTTTCACGCTTGCAAGAGGTTCATGGGTTCTCATGGATATATTTACAGAACTAGTTTTTGGAAACGATTCAGCACTCTCAGGGCGCAACAATTACGTTGATTCGCGGAGCTGACGTCCCCAGAATGGTGTTTTGGCGCGAGTCAGGATCGCTAAAACCAACTGCCAGGTTTACTCGTGGCGTCGAAGTCTCAGGAATGGTGTGTTGGCACGCGTCGAGATTTTCACACGGCTGTCCTCCAACAGGGCATTTCCTTCAGTGGAGAAGAATTTTTAAATGGGGCATATGGAGAGGGAGTTTTTGGGGAGGGTGTATTCCAACATCGTTGATGAGTCTTGGGTATACATTGGACATTGGTCCTCCTCCTCCTCGTTTTCCTCCTCCTCCCCCTCCTCCTCCTCGTTTTCTTCCCCCTCCTCCTCCTCCTCCTTCTCCTCCTCCTCCTCCTCCTCCTCCTCCTCCCTGTCGCACCCCGAGGCCAGTTGGAAGGGCGGGCCTGGCATTTCATTTGAGACTTCCTTACCGGCTACCAGCCTTAAGCTTTAAAGCTGACAACAGCTTCAGAGATGGAGGGTGGGAGGTTTTCAAAATGTGGCTCCCGCCTCAGCGCCGCGCACACTCTTTCGAAACGTTTGCAAGAGTTTCACGGAGTGAGGGCGTGTCGTTTTCAAAATATAGATCTTGCTTTAGCGCCGCGCGCATTCGTTTCTGCAAAATGTTCATGGTGTGGGATGGTTCGTTTTGAAGTTGTGGTTCTCGCCTTAACGCCGCGCGCATCCGTTTACAACTATTTGCAAGAGCTTCACGGAACGGTGTATTTTCAAACTGTGGTTCTCGCCTAAACTCCGCGCACATTCGTTTGTCAAATTTGCAACAGTTTCGCGGATTGGGGCAGTTCCTTTTCAACATGCTGTTCTCGCTGTAGCGCCGCGCGCAATTGCTCTAACCATTATCAAGAGTGTTTGTTGGCTCTCATGGTTAACGTACCAGAAATCGTGTTTTGGAACGGTTCAGGACTGTCAGGGCGCAACAGTTACGTTGATTCGCGGAGCTGAAGTCCCCAGAATGTTGTCTCCGCGCGAGTCAGGATGGCCAAGACGCAGCAGTCAGTTAAATTCATGGCGTTGAAGTCTTGAGAACGGTGTTTGTGCACGCTTCTGGATGTTCACACGGTTGCCCCCCAACAGGGCAATTCTTTTCGTGGAGACGGACCTTGGTGGCCTCTGAAGAGGGAGCTTGGGGGGAGGGTGTATTCCAACATCGTTTATCAATCTTGCGCTTGCATTCCTCATACTCCTCCGCCTCCTCCTCTCAGCAGGGCCGATTTGTGGTGCCAGACGAGGGGAACGGCACCCGCCCAATGGAGCTTGGCCGATTGGGTGACGGGGCTTGGACCGCGGGAGCGGGGAGGCAAAAACTGTTCGCCTCTGCCCGTCTTCCTGCTCCTCATCGTCATCCTCATCATCAGCATCGTCATCCTCATCGTCATGGTCATCGTCGTCGTCATCCTCCTCATCATCATCATCCTAATCATCATCATCATCATCATCATCATCATCATCATCAGCATCATCATCATCATCATCATCATCATCATCATCATCATCATCATCATCATCATCATTATCATTATCATTATCATCATCATCTAGATCATTGTCCTTATCATTATCATCATCACCACCACCATCATCATCATCATCATCATCATCATCATCATCATCATCAGTATCATCATCATCGTCATCACCCCACTATCCCAGTCATACTACGTGGCACCAATTCGACCGCCGATTCTTATCGCTGCAGGTGCACCTCCAGAGCACGTGAAGTCTGGGCGTTACGGGGCTTCGTGGTGGCCTTTTGAAGACCTCGGGGTTGCGTGACTATACCGGGTCTACCATGTTAGTCTGCCGTGCTGGTCTGCTGGAGGCCCTTTTTGGGGTCCTCTTGGGCCCCTTGGGCCGTCCTGTGGGCTTCTGTGGCTGTGGACCCTCAGGAGACCCTAGAGGCAAGACTTGTGATTCGCTATGATGTTACTTCCACGTCCGTCGGCCCCTAGGGCCGTAGTTGGATTGTTGGTGCCTGTTGGAGGCCTCGGGGAAGGGCCTTGGGAGTCGTTGGGGGGTCTCGTGGGGTCATGCTGCGGGTCTCGGGGTCATCTTGGGTCCGCTCAGTTCCGGGACCTCTTCGGCCGTCTTGGGGGCTTCTTTGGCCGTCTTGGACGCCTTTGGGCCATTCCCCTGGGACTCGGGGGACCTCGGGTACCTCTCGGGCTCTGAGGTCGGAGGAGGAGCTTGAGGAGGAGGAGGAGGAGGAGGAGGACGAGGAGGATGAGGAGGACGAGGTGGAGGAGGAGTAGGAGGACGAGGAGGAGGAGGAGGAGGAGGAGGACGAGGTGGAGGAGGAGGAGGAGGAGGACGAGGAGGAGGAGGAGGAGGAGGGCGAGGACGACGAGGTGGAGGAGGAGGACCCCCATGACCGCCAGGCCTTACGGCCTCTTAGAAGGGAGCGGCCCCTGCAGGCTGCTTCACCCACACCAGGCAGGGGGGGGGGCTTCTTAGAAGGACGCCTCCCCGCCCCTGCCTCCTTTTGGGTGGATCGCGGTGCGGCGATCACATTTCTGCGCGCCCGAGTTGAGCCGTGCGAGGTGCAGGAGTGGGAGCAGAAGCAGAAGGCGAGGGCGAGAAGGATGAGAAGGCTAAGGTCTGTACGTATGTGCAAAAGGTGGGGGCGAGAGCCTCCAGGAGCCTCCCAGCGCGGAGTTGGCTTAAGGTTGCGCGGTTCACACGGTGCCACAAAACTAGGACCAGAGTCGTCAAGGCAGGAATCTACCGTAGCCGGTTTGGCTCAAACCATTGGTAGCTCAAACTGAGGCTGCACGCGCTTCGACCCCCAAGCGCGCATTCACAACTTTCTTGGCCGAGTCACAGTCACATCCTTTTATCAGTTAGCGAATCAAGTTTTGGCCCAGCACTCATCAAGAGATGGATCCAGCCGCAAGGGCATCCCATCTGGATACCGACGTCGCGGCAGTCCCACATCTGGTCTGCCCGAAGTCGCATTGGGAGGTCCAGCGGTGCGCGGTGCTCCGCATCGACGGGATGACCTGCTCCAACTGCAGCAACGCCGTCACCAAGGCGTTGGAGAGTCACGGGCGGGTCAACAAGTGCGAGGTGGACCTCATCAATGAGAAGGCCAGAGTCTGGTATGTCGCGTCGAAGGACTTTTCCGCGAAGGAGATATGTTCCGAGGTGGAGGACATCGGATTCGGTGCCACCATGATCTCGGACGCACTCGCACAGAGCGTTGCGGTGCTCCGCATCGACGGGATGACCTGCTCCAATTGCAGCAACGCCGTCACCAAGGCGTTGGAGAGCCTCGAGCGCGTCATCAGGTGCGAGGTGGACCTCATCAACGAGAAGGCCACGGTCCAGTACTGCGCGTCAGCGGATTTTTCCGCGAAGGAGATCTGTTCCGAGGTGGAGGACATCGGCTTCGGTGCTGCCACCATCTCGGACGCGCTCGCTCAGAGCGAGGATACCGGCACTGCAGTGCTCCATCTGCTAGATTCGGAGACCGCGGGGGCCTCCGCCGCGACCCTCAGGTCCACCACGGGTGTCGCAGACGTGATGGTTGACGGCAACCTCCTGAAGATAACATACGACCCCGCAAGGGTCGGCGCCCGCAAGCTCCTCAAGTCCCTCGGCGCGGGCAAGAGCGGGCCAGGCGTGTCCCTCGCACCGCCAGAGCTGGTCGCGGCCAGGTCCAGCACGGAGCGCCTGCCGGCGGGCCTGGTGACTGCGGTGACCCTCACCGCCGCGATCGTGTCCGTGTGCTGGGTGCTGCCGTGCTTCGAGCACTGCGCTGCATTCCTCAACTGGGAGGTCGTCCCCGGCCTCACACTCATGATGATGCTGCTCTGCGCCCTGGCTGCGCCCGTGCAGTTCTACAGCGGCTGGCGCTTCCATGCTGGTGCGTACCACGCGCTGAAGTCGGGCGTCTGGGACATGAACGTCCTCGTCTCCCTGGGCAGCGGCCTGACGTTCGGCTACTCCTTTCTCGTCATCCTCTTCGTGGTCGTGGGCAGCAGGTACTACAAGCTCCACGACTGCAAGATCCCCCCATCGGCATTCTTCGAGGCCCCCTCGGTGGTCGTGACCTGCATCCTCGTGGGCAAGACGCTCGAGTCCTGGGCCAAGAGGAGCACCGCACGGTCCCTGCGGGAACTCTTGAAGCTGCAGCCGCCCACGGCCCACCTGCTACTGGCAGGCAGCACGGAGGCCTCGACGGTGCCCGTGGAGCTCCTCGAGCTGGGGGACACCGTGCAGGTATTCCCCGGAGAGGGCGCCCCCGCTGACGGCGTGCTCGCCTCCGAGGCGGGCGCGGCCGAGTTCGACGAGTCCCTGCTCACGGGCGAGTCGCGCCCAGTGGTGAAGCAGAGGGGGGATTTCATCATCGGCGGCTCGAAGTGCGTCAGCGGCAGGGTGGAGCTGCAGGTGCAGCGCCTGGGGAGCCGGACGATGCTCTCGCAGATCCTGGGGCTGGTGCAGAAGGCACAGCTGAGCAAGGCGCAGGTGCAGCAGGTGGCGGATGAGATCGCCCAGCGGTTCGTCCCCTGCGTCATCATACTCGCGCTCCTGACCTGGGCAACCTGGTATGCCCTCGTCTACCGCCTGGATCTGATTCCGCTGTCCTCCATCCTCGATGGCCGCTCCAGCCAGTGGCCAGAGATCGACAGGTTCTTCTTCGTGCTGGAGCACGGCCTCACCGTGCTGCTGGTTGCCTGCCCCTGTGCGCTCGGGCTGGCCACCCCGACGGCCGTCATGGCCGCGACGGGTGCGGCGGCCAAGCATGGCATCTTGGTCCGGACGGGCGCCGTGCCTCTGGAGCTGGGCTCGAAGGTCAGCAGCGTGGTCCTCGACAAGACGGGCACCCTCACGTGCGGCCGGCCCCGGGTCACGGAGGCCGCCGCCGCCTGGGCTGCGGGAGCCTCGCAGCAGCGGGCGCTGCACGTGCTGGTGGAGGCGCACCGGAGGGCCACGGGCGCCTCGGCCCGTGGGGCGCCGGAGCGGCCGGCGGTGGCGATGACGTGGCTGCAGGAGCCCGGCAGCGCCTCCCAGGTGGTGCTCCCGCAGACCGACGCCGCCGCGCGGCGCGCGCAGTCGCGCGGCGAGGCGGAGCGCGCCCTGTGGTGGGCCATCGGCTCTGCGGAGGTGTCCAGCGAGCACCCCGTGGCGAAGGCGCTCGTCGAGACGGCGGGCGCGGTGGCGAGAGGCCCGCTGACGAAGCCCAGCACCTTCGAGAACATCACCGGCGTCGGGGTGCGGTGCACTCTGGCGGGCCTGGTGGTGGACGTTGCCTCCGCGACGAGCGTCCTGGAGCTCCGCAGCGGCGTCCCCGCCGGCGCGGGTGACGCGCTGCCCGAGTGGATCGCGGCCATGCGGGCCGGAGGCGCCACGGTGGTGGCCCTCGCGGTGGAGGGCGTGCCGCTCGCTGCGGTGGCCCTGCAGGACGCGTTGGCGCCGCACGCGCGGTCGTGCGTGGCATCGCTGCAGGTTGCTGGGGTGGACGTCTGGATGTGCAGCGGGGACCACCGGGTGGCTGCCCGTAGCGTGGCGCGCCAGTGCGGCATAGACGAGTCGCGTGTCGTGGCGGAGGCTCTTCCGGCAGACAAGGTCAGCACGGTCGAGAGACTTCGCGCCCAGGGCGGCAAGGGCAAACAGCACAAGGTGGTCGCTATGGTTGGAGACGGCGTGAACGACGCGCCTGCGCTGGCCACCGCCGACATCGGCATTGCTATCGGAGCAGGGCACGACGTGACCGTGGAGGCTGCCGACATCGTCCTCGTGCGTTCGGACCTCCGCGATCTCGCCGCCTTCTTCATGCTCTCGCGTGACACTCTCAAGACGATCAAGTTCAACTTCTTGTGGGCGTTTGTCTTCAACGTGTGCGCGCTGCCAGTCGCGGCTGGCGCGCTGTGGCACTGGAGGATCATGATGAGCCCTCCTTTGGCTGCGTGCGTGATGCTGAGCTCGTCGCTCTTCGTATGTCTCAACTCGCTGTCGCTGAGCACTTTCCAGCCAGCGAGCACTACCTGGGAGGTTTGATAGCCTTCGGGGCTGCAGCCCGTTCGCGCTGGACTCGCCCATCGCGGCTGCAGTGGCCCATCAGGGGCAAGCGGTAGCGCGGGAAGTGCACAGAGGTTGCGCCGTCGGTCCGGAGCTCGCCGAGACGGCTCGCTCCACGTGCTCCGCAAGCCGCACCCTTCGCGCTTCCACTTGCCTCGTCGCCGCGCTCATGTTGCATGGGGTGGGGGGGCAGGAGCTCGGCTAATGCATGGCGTATTCAGCGGCGATTTCCGCGGTTTTACAGATGCAGGAGCAGGGTATAGAGACGGCGCGCTGCCCTTTGAGGCTGCACTGCACGTGCGCTGCGCGCAGAGGCTTCGGCCTCACTCGCATCCCTGTTACAAGGGCAGGGCCTCAGGTCGTGCAATTCACAAGCTATTGCGTTCGATCCGACGGACAAGCCGGTGGGTGCTTCTGCTTCGTGCTTTCGAGCGAAAAGGTACGAACATCAAGTACGATGCAGATAATGCGGTGTGCTTGGGCGGGAGCTGGATGCGCATCTGGCCGCATGATTGTTCCAGCATTTGGTCCTCGTATGATCAGGTACGCCGTTCCGTCCCTCCGCAGGTGCCTCCAGCGCCTGGCGTCCGCATGTCCCGCGTGCAAATCCAGCAGCATGTGCTTCCAAACTACTTGTAGTTTCGTCGGGTTGCATCCGCTCGAGGAGCAAAATAAGAACGTCTCGAATGAGGAGGGGGAGGAGCAAGAGAAGGAGGGACGAGGAAGACCAGGAGGAGGGATGACGAGGTACAAGGATGCGCTGGAAGAGCAGAGTACCAAAGACGGCGAGCGAATCTATCCAGCAATGCTGCAGCCTCGATGGCTGGCAGGGTCGGCGGCATAGGAGGGAAAAGGAGCATGGAGGATGAGGGAGGAGGAGGAGGAGAAGGAGGAGGAGGAGGAGGAGGAGAAAGGAGGCGGAGGACTTTCCCGACTTTCCCCCAGGACAACGTCCCTAGAGGAGGAGGAGGAGGAGGAGGAGGAGGAGGAGGAGGAGGGAGGGAGGAGGAGGAGGGAGGAGGAGGAGGAGGATGAGGAGGAGGAGGAGGAGGAGGTAGGAAGGAGGGAGGAGAGGAGGAGGAGGAGGAGGAGGAGGAGGAGGAGGAGGAGGAGGGAGGAGGAGGAGGAGGAGGGGAGGAGGAGGAGAGGAGGGAGGAGGGAGGAGGAAGAGGAGGAGGAGGAGGGAGGAGGAGGAGGGGAGGGAGGAGGGAGGGAGGAGGGAGGAGGGAGGAGGGAGGAGGGAGGAGAGGAGGGAGGAGGAGGAGGAGGAGGAGGAGGAGGAAGCAGAAGAAAAAGGAGGAGGAGGAGGAGGAGGCGGAGGAGGCGGAGGAGGAGGAGGAGGCGGAGGAGGCGGAGGCGGAGGCGGAGGCGGAGGGAGGGAGGAGAGGAGGAGAGGAGGAGGAGGAGGAGGAGGAGGAGGAGGAGGAGGAGGAGGAGGAGGAGGAGGAGGAGGAGGAGGAGGAGGAGAGGAGGAGGAGGAGGAGGAGGAGGAGGAGGAGGAGGAGGAGGAGGAGGAGGAGGAGGAGGAGGAGGAGGAGGAGGAGAGAGGGGGAGGAGGGAGTAAACATTGCCCCGAAGGGGGGCGAGGAGTGTCGCGAGGGCGCGGGTATGTGAAGGGGAAGGGCAATGGCAGGATGAGGCCTTCCGGCCCGTCTAGGGGCCTTCTCGAGTCCGAGACAGTCGTGCGACAAGACGCGGGCGGGCGCCTCGTGGGGATTGCGGGCCGACGCGGGCCGCCCCAGAAGGCTTTCCCCAGGGGTGACGACTGAGGCTCAGAGCGGTGGTGGAAGGCCCTGAGGACACGCCCACTCCGTGCCCAGAGAATTGTCATGGCCTTTCATGGCCCTTGCATTCTTACCGCGCGTCCTCCCTACACGGGTTGACTGAATGTATGTGAGCGGTGCCTGTTGCGGAGCGAACCCCCCCCACCGCAGGATCGTTCGTCCTGGGGGTCATCGTGTTGGCCGCACCGCCAGTTCGGGGCGGCACGAACCCCCCCCGGGGTGCGCGAGGACCCCTGGGGCCAGTGCGCCCTGGTACGGACCCGCCCGGGACGCAGCGCCCGTGCGAACCAGAACGGATCCCCTGGGATGGCACACCAACGCGCAGCCCCAGAGCGCGGGGGAGGGCCCGTGGAGCGCGTGCGAGCGCCCAGGGTGCTGGACGTCCTCGGAGGTCCATGTTTAGGTTTCCTGAGATCCCCGGTGTCTTCCCCGGGACTTCCACCCCGTTTTCTGGCTCCTCGCCATTACATCGCACTCCTCGGCACTCCTCACCTCTCATCCTGGCTTCTCCCCACCATCATGATCATCAGCATCAGCATCATCATCAACATCAACATCATCATCATCATCACCAGCACCATCAGCATCTTCATCACATCGTCATCATCATCAACAGCATTATCATCACCAATAATCATCATCACCATCATCACCACAATCACCATCACCATCACCATTAATCACTACCACCATCACCATCATCATCATTATCATCATCATCATCACCACCAACATCACCATCACCATCACCATTAATCACAACCACCATCACCACCACCATCATCATCATCATCATCAGCATCACCAGCATCGTCATAGCCATCATCATCAACATCATCAGTACCAGCATCATCATCGTCATCATGATTTTCATCATCGTCATCATCGTCATCATCATCACCACCATCGTCATCACCATCATCATCATCATCATCATCATCATCATCATCATCATCATCATAGTCGTCGTCATCATCGGCATCGTAATCGTCATCGTCATCACCACCATTCCACCATCATCAGCATCACCACCACCATCACCATCATCATCACCATCATCACCTTCATCATCTTCATCATCATCAGTATCATTATCATCAGCATGATCATCAGCATCAACATCATCATCACCACCACCATCATCACCATCACCATTAATCACCACCACCATCACCATCACCATCACCGTTAATCACCACCATCACCATCATCATCAGCATCAGCATCAGCATCGTCATCGCCAGTATCATCAGCATCATCAGCACCATCAGCATCATCATGATCATCATCATCATCAGCATTGTCATCATCATGTTTATCATCATCGTAGTCATCGTTGCCATCGTCCTCCTCATTATTTCCACCATCAGCATCACGATCACCATCATCATCGTCATCACCATTATCATCGTCATCATCACCACCACCATCATCAGCAGCAGCAGCAACACCAACATCATCATCATCATCAACAGCATCAGCATCATCATCAGTATCATCAGCATCATAAGCGTCATCATCGTCATCATCGTCATCAGCATCATAGCTATTGTCATCGTCATCGTCATCGTCATGACGTCGTCGACTTCATCATCATCACCATCCATCATCATCATCATCATCATCATCATCATCATCATCATCATCATCATCATCATCATCAGCATCATCATCATCATCATCATCATCATCCTGCTGCTCCTCCTCCTCCTCCTCCTCCTCCTCCTCCTCCTCCTCCTCCTCCTCCTCTTGGTCCTTCTCATACACCTCATCCTCTTCCTCTTCCTCCTCCTCCATCGGCGGTCCCGTCGTGTAGCCGCCAATCCAGTTGTCGTCCTCTTCTACCTCCTCCTGTTCCTCCTCCTCTTCCCCATTCTCCCACCCTCCTCCTCCTCCTCCTCTTTCTCGTCTTCCTCAGGTCTTCAACTCCTCTTGTGCATCTACTCATGTATGTATGTATGTATGTATGCATGTAGGTAGGTCGGCAGGTAGGTAGATAGGTATGTAGGTAGGTAGGTGCACATACCCGTGTTGGTATGCATATTGTATACTTGTGTATGTCTATGCAGAGATAGAGAGAGAGAGAGAGAGAAAGAGCGAGAGAGGGGGCTAGAGATAGAGAGAGGGAAAGAGAGCGAGAGGGTGTATATATAGAGAGAGAGGGAGAGAACAAAAAGAGAGAGAGAGAGAGAGAGAGCGAGAGAGAGAGAGAGAGACAGGGGAGAGAGAGAGAGAGAGAGAGAGAGAGATAGAGGGAATCCATACATACACAGAGAGAGGAGTGTGACGATGACGAGGAGGAGGACGACGGCCACGACGATGACGACCACGACGACGACGACGACGACGACGACGACGACGACGACGACGACGACGACGACGACGACGACGACGACGACGACGAGGCGCGCGCCCGCGCCAGAGCGGCGTCTGCGGGGATCTGCTGGCGGAGGGCCTGTGCATGGGCTTGCTGGCCAGGCGCGCCCTCGGGTGGGGCGGGGAGGAGGAGGAGGAGAACGAGGAGGAGGAGGAGGAGGAGGAGGAGGAGGAGGAGGAGGGGGCGGCGAGGGAGGACTCGATGGATGAATGGAGGTTTGAATGGATGGACGGATCGACGGACGGATATGAGATAGATGGATCCAAAGAGGTGGCGAGAGATGCTCGTACGAAGCAAGAGGGATGGAGGACCTCAGGAGGACGAGAAAGAGGAGGAGGAGGAGGAGGAGGAAGAGGAGGAAGAGGGGGAAGAGGCAGACGACGACGACGACGGCGACGACGACGACACTTGAAACCGACGACGGCAGGAAGGTGCAGGGAGAGAGAATGGGTGGACAGGGGGGATGGGTTTGGGTCGGTCTCGGCAGTCCTCGAAAGCTTCTCGAGGAGGCTACCTCGCCGGCGAAGTTGATTTAATGCAGGGGTGGGAAGGGAGAGGAGCAGGGGGATGAGTCACATTCGCCAGGTCGAACGAGTCAGCGGGCCCCGCCCATCCCCTGTCTCCACCTCCTTCCCATAACATGAGAGTCACTGGTGGCACATCTTGGTATTGGGACGGCGACGATCCTCGCCTAGCGAACGGAATGTTCTCGCGCGCATTCTCGTTTCCGACGGCCTGGCGAGGGCACAGCAGAAGTGGGCCGTGCCGGGGCGGGAGCGGATCTTCAGAAACTCCTTGCGCTGCGCTCCGGCGAGAGCACCACTTGGACCTCTGTCTGGCGGCCAGGTTTCCGATGAGCGCGGGGGCGACGAAGCATGCGCCGCACAGAAACACCACTGCCACTCTCAAGCACAAGCTGCGCGGCGCCTCGACGAGGGCAGCATTTCGCCCGCTCTCGCGCGGTCTCGCTGCCGCTGCCGCTTCTCGCGCGACTCGACGAGCGGAGCACGCGCCGCGCCCAGGCGGCAGCGCCACTCCCAGGCGAGCTCTGCGCGGAGCTCGGGCGAGGGCGACAGGTCGCCCGCTCGCGCGCGGCCCCGCCCCCCCCAAACGACTTGGGATTGGAAGCTGTGCGCCGTGCCGGGGGGCGGGGGAGCACCGCTCTCGGGCACGGTCTGAGTGGTGCCGAGGCGAGAGCGATATGATCGTCCGCTCGCGCGTGGACGACTTAGCGGGTGAAAGATGCGCGCCGCGCCCATTCGGGAGTTCTACCCTCAGGAGAAATGAGCACGGCGTTCGGGCGAGATCGCCATGTTGCTCTTTCGCGCGGGACGTGCGCCTCGTCCCACTCCCGCCACGCATTTTGCACAGTCGGTGCTAAGACGTCCACGTAGAGAGCCAGGACGTCGATATCTTCCATGTTTAACAGGTCGGATGGAGCTTCCCGGATTGGAGGGTATCGGCCAGTTGGGTGGCAC